CCCCCCCCCCCCCCACACACACACACACACACACACACACACACACACTCCTGATCTGTTGGTACTACTGATCCCACATTTGTTGCAGCTGATTTCCTTCATGTTCATGTTTGGGATTGTCAGGCAAGTCACTTTCAGGGCTGAGCAACACGGATGTGATTGCAAAAGCAGCTCCCCTCACTGACACTGGAAAACTTTTGGGAGCCACCGGGAATTCGGGACCCTGTTTGATTGCAAAGCAGAAGCATGATGTCATAAGTAGTTCCTGGAATGGCCGCCAGAGTGAAGCTGCATGATTTTCATTCATTTTGTTGGCCTTGGCCACGCCGAGGCATTGATCAGGAAATCTGTGTGTCCATATTTGTTTGTGTCCGCGTTTGTTCATGTCCGTCGTGCATGCAGCCGGGAAGTTTATGGGAGACACATACGGCCCTGTCCGTGTTTTACGTTGCCATGCATACGCGGCTATTAGACATCCAGTCCTTGTGTAATATTTCATGATAGAAAAATCCATGTTGTGTAAATGTTTTCAGGATTACTGTATATAGATGATAGACAATAAATTCCTTTTTTTTCTTAAGTGACTGGCTTCATGAACCGTAATGCTTCACTTTTTTTGTGTGCATGCACTATATACAGCATAAACTATAAATAGCTGGAATACTAACTAAATATAGTGCATGTGTGTATTAATGTACAGTACCAGTCAAAGGTTTAGAAATAAAGCTTCGAATTCAAACGGTCTTACACATTAGGAGGGCAAGACGTTCAAGCTCTTGCTAATGCAGAGCAGTGAACTGAAAGTCATTCCAGGTCATGAAGCATCATCCACATCAAGACAGCTGACTGAGAAAATATGCAAAGATCTTTCGTCAACAAAAGGTGCCTCGTTTGAAGAATTATAAATTCTATTTTAACATGTTTGTGGTTTACCAAATAATTCAAATATTTCTTAATGTTGATAACTGAAGCATGACTCCACTTTTGTTTTCGACTTTGCAATTCTGACCTCCCGGGTCAAATGAACCTCTGTGTCCCGTCACTTGAACCAATTAAATAGTAAAGTCAAAGAAAGCCCCAACAACGTGCATGCATGTGTGCAATACGTTTGTGTTCCGGACTTGAGAATGAACAAACACATTTTCTGGAACTGGACCTCTTGGCATGGCACTCATCAAAATACAGTCTTCCGTAGTGAGTATGTAAACAAAACTATTGGATGAATTAAAAAAAGAAAAGTGCATATATTTAAAATGCATTTTTATTTCAGTTTACAAGAAACAAAAGCAGACAAATATGACAGGGCATTGGGGAAAGAGTGGGAAGCTGTATATAAAGAAACCTCTGGCTTCCTGAAAAAAATATGTACAATTCAAAAGAATTTTCATACAAAACATGCCACTTACAATTAAAAATCAATATATTTATTTGTCATCCCTAAAAGTATATCTGCTGTACAGAGGCAACATCTTTTTTAAAAAGTAGGTGATGTTTAAAAAAAAAAATCAATTTGAGCAAATATTTATTAAATTATAAGATATGAAGAAAACTTAAATTAAGATTTCAAAAAGGCTGAACATGTCTCAGGTTTAAAATCCAGTGAGAGGCGTTAGGTCTCATTATGGTCTTCCCTTGAAATTGAAACATAGCAAAAGCACAAGTAAAATCACTGCTTGGGATACTTGATCCACTTGAGCAAATGTCGCCATAATATATATATATGGATGGCAAGATCTTGAGATTTAGGAGAGAGTGCAATTCATGAGCAGGTGAAGTCTGGGGATGAGTTGGGTCTGCCAAGTAACCATTACACAACACATTCACTTCTAGAGGGAAAAAGAGACAAAAAGAAGCATGACGACAGAAGGAAAGCTTCTTTCCATTCGTGGGTATATTCATCCAATTGGAGGCAAAGAAGGGTCATGATTTGGTAAGCATAAATACAAAAGAAAAAAACAACAACCCAACATATTCCATAAATACAAATGCTATGCACTGCTGTGTGATGTGCATTCAACACACAGATCCTTTTTGCCGGCACCTCGTCTTCTACTCTCACCGCTTTTGTTTTATGTCAACAAACTCGCCTCTGAGAGCTTATAGCAAAAACACTCATAGAAAAACAGGTTAATGCAAAAAACGCTCTGGTTCATATACATAAAGATATTAGTTTGCCATTTTACATATATTTATACGTATGTACAGCTTTGTTAAAATGATATCCAGTGGTTGATTTTTTTTCTCCTTCCATTTGATTTCTCTACACTTTATTGATTACAAAGGGGCTTGCTGGGTACAGAAGCCCCAAATGCATATACCGTTATATACATTTATACAAGTTTGCATTTTTCTTTTCATCCTGTGAGGTGGTAGGGTTTTTTTTTGTTTGTTTTTTTTCCAGAGGAGGAGGAATATAGCAGTGTGGGAAATTTTAATAAAGCTCCCTTTAAAGACGTGTTTTTTTTTCCTTATAACTCTCAGGTAGACAAGGAAACAAATGCCCTTTTATCCAATTAGTCTTTCCCTGCCATCAGTTCAGCCTGGAGGAGAGTACCGGCCCTAGAAAAGCACATACACACGCACGCACGCACCTGGAAAGTAGAAACACTGCAGGCTGCACTCAGGCAAAAGGAAGACCTACTACAGTAAAATGTTCTGTCCGCTAAATCTGACAGAGGACAAGAGCGTCATTGAAAAAGGTCATTTTAGTAGTCATGCGTCCACTGACAGCAAAGAAGAAGAAGAAGCGGATAATTTGGTGGCAGACAGGATGTGACGCTGAGCTTCTGATTGCCTTTTTGTTTGAATGCTTATCCAAAACGCTCATAGAGTTCCTCTGTATAAATAAGTCATGATGAATCATCATCATCATCATCATCATCAAGGTGGCTCCGTATAGTAAATGATCATCAGCATAGAGTAGACAGCGCAAACCTGCTGCTTAAGATTCCCTGCTTGTCCAAGGACAGTCCCTCCAGACCCCCTTTCATTCCACAGTAGCAGTTAACAGTTTCGTCTTTTTTTTTCTTTTTTTTCTTGTTTCTATACAAAGCAGTCACTTCCCGCTCCAATCAATGAGGTAGACCGGGTCCAACAAGCCTTTTAGGACTGTGCACGGTTCAAGAGGAGCATGGGCGCCTCCGGAGTCACTACAACTTTTTTTTTTTTTTTCCAACCAAGATTGTCTCGCTAGCCAACGTCCACGTTGTCTTCATTGATGTGATTGCAGATGAGAGAGGAAGTACTTTAGGTCCAACTTAAAACAAGAAAATGCATTAGTAGTATTTTAAAATGGCTTCTTTGTGTCTTGATTTTTGTCGCTGCTGTTGATGCATGGTGCTTGTTGACATGATTGTTCTCATTTTTTTTTTCAAGAGGGTTTTAGCCAACCAAAAAAACATGTACGGGCAAAGAAAAGAAAAAAAGGGACTGCCCTGGTGTTGTGGAGGAGGTGGTGGTGGTATGTTGATTAATGCTCGTCAAACCTTTGGCTACACGCTCAACTGTCACTTGGGGTCGTCCCAAGATGGAGGCCAGCCTTCCTCCACTTGGGGGAGAGCAGCTTATGTACTGGCAAAGTCAAGTTTAAAAACAAACAAATTAAAAAAGGCTTTGGCGCAGAAAGGAGGCGAGGCGAGGCTCCACCTTCGTTCCTTCCTTCCTTCCTTCCTTCGTCTCAGTTCATCCATTTTCGGCAGTTCCAGGCTCCGCAGTGGCACGGGATCTTGTGCTGGTCATCCTCAAAGTCAAACTGGTAGTCGTAGGTCAGCTGCAATGGACAAACGCGCACGCTCACACCAAGTCATCGACACAAAAAGCCTTCATCGTCAAGCCAGTCAACAGCCCATGCTGCATATTTTCGTCCTCAAAATGCTCCCCCATCAACTACTTTTATTTGTTGTGAACTTGCTGTGAGCAAAGCTTCAGCTGTGCTTGAAAGTGACGAAAATAATGGCCTCAATTTGGTCGGCAGGAAAGCAGCAACGAAGAAGATCAATGGATCTTTAAAGGGTTCATGCAAGTCAAGGTTGAGAGCTATTTCAAGAGATTGGAGTTGTACAACACTCATCTGTGATGACTTGTTTATAGTTGGGTCGAAATTGGGGACTTGTCTTTTGAACAAAATGATTTTGGGGGAGCTGTCTGCTTTTGCAATGGGTCCTGAGGTAGCAGTTGATTGTAATGACACATGCAGCATACCTCCTCTCCTTTGGGGATTCGGCGACTGGAAATGATGATGATCTTGTCCTCTTTGTCGAACGTCACAACCTCAGCGACACAGTTGGGCGCGCACGAGTGGTTGACGTAGCTGAGGTGGACAGGACAAGGTGAATATAAAACAACTTGCGGGAAGGTCATTCACAGTAGCAAAATGATGACACAATTTTGCAATAGATTCACAGCAGCAAAGGATTTGATCAGCTTTGTTCTCCCCGGCGCCATCTGTTGGATGTGCTAGGGAACTACACCCATGAGGCCCCGGAGAGAGGGTGTGTCTAGTGTGCCTCTCAGTGTTGTTGGGTGATGTTTGAATGTGTTGCTGCTCCATGCGGCCATCTTTGGCATTTCGAATTACATTTTAGCATTAAACTAGCACTTTCGTTCAATGAAATTGGTTTGGTTTAACATCGAACATTCGTCACTCAAATCACTCATCTTTCCTCAATGATATTCATGGCAATGCTCAACTCAACTCAAATGTATTTATAGAGCACTTTCAAACAGCCATCGTCATACAAAGTGCTGTACATGGAGCAACTAACATATACTACAGTAACGCAAAGCAACAAATCAGGAACAAAGATGGTAGAGAGAGCGCCAAACAGTATAACTAAGATCATAATTTGGGTCATGCTGAGTCAAATGCCAAAGAATACAAGTGAGTTTTGAGGCGGGTTTTAAAGATGGGCAGCGAGGATTGCTATTTATACATCGCCGCCGCCGTCCCCTTGGAACGATGAACAGTGTTATTTCTGAAGTGATAACTTACAGCACTGTGATTTGAGGGCCTGGTTTATTTATTTTTTTATCTTAAGCAAGTTCAGTGTTCAGTACTTATATTGCTCAGAAAGTGTTCTTACTGTTTTTGATATGTTAACCTAAGCACTTTTTATGGGCCCAATGTTCTATTTGATTTTTATTTTTTAATTATTTGGAGATTTACAAAAACAAAACAGTGATATTCCCCCTGCTGGTCAAAACTAAAGGTTGCAGGTAGGACTTGGGACTAGTTTCAAATACAGCAGAAAGGAAATGGCTCGGACTGCATCTGTTCAAGTCTGTTTCAAAACAATGAAAGACTTTATGATGCCACTTTTTTGTGATATCTATCTTCTGATCTGCCTCAATAATGTAACACATTTAAAATGAAAATAGGGGGGTTCTCAGCAAATTTTAGATGAGATTAAAATATAGATTAATTATATCAATTAATTACAGATCATAATTAATTAATCTCAATTTTTTTAATCTCTTGACAGCACTAGTTTTACAATCAACTTCAACTGAAAATGGCTCAAAAACCACGACTTACCTGAACTTTCACAAGCCACTGTCACTGAAGCGCAATTAGTACTTGAGTTTTTACTCACATGACAATGCAAAAGAAATTAGCTCAGCAACAGTTTATGAATCGAAGAATTTGTATGTGTGGACACTCGTAAATCGAGGTCCATATGTCTTTTGTTTTGTGTCACTTGCAATGAACTTCAACTGGGAGTGATAAACAGCTTGAAGCAAGCCTGCAGTTTGGAGAAATGTACAAGTGTGAGTGACAACAGGCGCCAAGGAATACTTTTGGAACAAGTTTGCGTTTTAAAAAGTTAATCTGTTTAAAGTGTGCGAGGGGGTAAATCGGGGGAATTACTCCCTCATTATTATTTTGTTCAGCCAACCAGTACTCAGGATTGCTTACCGAGCTGGGCCACCAGTCAGAGTGGCGTCAATCACCTGCTCGTTGTTGATGCGGAACATGTAGATACCACGGTTCTAGGACAAAGACAATGAAAGGGTCTGAGGTGGGGGAGTCAAAGGGCTTTTTTGTCATTACGCGGATTGACAATATCTGGCGTACACACCTGCAACTCGTAGACCTTCTCCCGGCGGTTGGCCACCTCATTGCGGATGACTGTGCCGATGTACTCGATGACCATGGTGTGCTTCTCCAGATCTTTCGCGGCGTACAGACCCAGGCCCTGAATGCGAGAGCGAGCCAGGTACACGTTGTTCTTCCACTCGGTCTTCAGGCGCCGATACTGCGAGGACTTGGAGTGGACAAACTGCTTGCTGTATGGCGTGTTCATCTCGCAGGTGAAGGTGCTCTGGTACGCCTTGGACACGCTGGTGCTGTTCAAGGTGTGAGGCCTGAGGATAGATGGAAAAGCAAGACTGTCAGCTGGTCCCCCCCAAAAAAGGGGATGGCCATTTGAGGAAAGAATAATAATGATGATTTATTTATCATGATTAGAGCTGTAATTTTCGGACTACAAGCCTCTACTTTTTTCCAAGGCTCTGAACCTTGCGGCTTGAAAGGTGACGTGGTTAATTGAGGGAGTTTTACGAATGTGCTCCATCCCACCAATCCATTTAGCAGGGAAAAAAGGCTCGTATGCAACACAAAGCATTTGTAGCCACTCGACAACATCAGTGTGGATAGTTAATTTAAAGTGACACTCTGAGCTCAGTCGGAAGCTTGGGGTGCATTTGGAAATGCAGTCTTGACGCCAACACGCCTGCAAGAGTGCATGTGTTCAGAGAGGCACAGCGCGTTCCCCTCCCATCCACTTCCGAACCCAGCCTATGATCTCATCTAAGCCAATCAGCAGCTGTTGCATCTGTACTGCCTGACGCCATTTTTGGGAATGTGTGAGGAAGTCAGAGTACTGAGATAGAATACATATAGGTAGAGAGAACATGCAAACTCCACAACGGGGAGCCAAGATTCAAACCTGCCTTTGCCCATCTGTGAGGCCAACTAAACACGACCCCGCAGTGCTGCTGTGGAGCAAGTTAATTGAGCCAAAATCAATTAGGCTTCAAGAAACCGCTTCAAAACAGATCAAATAGCCCCAAATATTTGGCCTTACCTCTTGCACTGCGTGGGGACTTTGGGCTCTGAGCGAGCACAACCGGTGGGGTTAATCATGAGAGGCAGTTCCATCAGTGGGTGACGGCCATATCGGAACTGGTAGTTGTGGCAGTTCTCCACTCCAGGCAACTAAAATACAAGAAATGTGAGAAAATTGTGTTCAATGTCCTTTACTCATCTACCCATTTTCTCTACCCCACTCATCCTTATGAGGGTGATGGGCAAAGTGGAGTGTCTCCCATCTGACTTTGGACAAGAGACGGGGTAAAACTCAAACCGCTCGCCACCCAGTTGACGGGCAAATATAGACAGACAACCTCTCTCTCTCTCTCTCTCTCTCTCTCTCTCTCTCTCTCTCTCTCTCTCTCTCTCTCTCTCTCTCTCTCTCTCAAAAAAAAATCTCTCTCTCTCTCTCTCTCTCTCTCTCTCTCTCTCTCTCTCTCACACACACACACACACACACACACACACACACACACACACACACACACACACACACACACACCTATTGACAATTTACCAGTCTTGAATGAACACAAAGTACCAAAAGAAAATCCACACAAGCACGGGGGAGAATAAACAAATGCCACACAAGAAGGCTGGCACTGAGATTTAAACCCAGGACGTCACAACTGTGAGGAAGATGTGCTAAACCAGTGGTGCCCAAAGTTTTTGGACCGAAGATCAACTTTTCAATCAACCAACCTCCCGCGATCGATCTGTTACCGCGCACGTGCTCACATACACACGCACGCCATGACAGTGAGGCATGTGACGCACTTTTGCAGCCTGTTAACTATCATAGCTCACACGTACTGTTTTAAAGTGCTTCTCTCGGCCCTTTAGATTCCTATTGTTTGCCCCTGTCCTCGGTGAATTGTACATGAAACAAACCCTGAATGAGAATAATGATTACGATAAAAGATATAGCGCAACAGCTCGGATCACAAGCTGCAATTGCAGACTGCTGAGCGCTAACAACTTCCAGTGACACAGGTCACACGCCACTGTAGTTTAAAGATTTACCTGCTTTATTTCATTTTATTTTTTAATACTTTTTGTGAAAATGAGACTGATAGGATGATTAGGGTGCAGTGTACATTAACACAAAAAATATATTACTAAAATGCACAAAAACACACAAATGGTTGTTTGTTTTGTTTCTCCTTTACACCCCTCGCGATCGACTTGGGACCAGTCCGCGATCTACCAGTCGATCGCGATCAACATAATGGGCACCCCTGTGCTAAACACTGGGCGGGTGCAAAATGCTGGCCACTAAAATTACCAATGAAGGCAAATTCACAAAAGTGGCTCTAAATGTCTTCCAAATGTAGCGCTTTCTCACCGATTCAGTGATGCGCATGACAGCATGAATCGTGAGGCCAAACATATCTTCTCCTTTGACGTGTTCAGTGAAGAGTTTCAGCATGGACGAATCATCTCGGAGTTTGGCAACCTTGTGAACGACCTGTTCCCAGATTCCTATCAACAAACGGCATCAAACATTCAGTCTCTGCTCAGTTCATTTGAAAGGGAAAGAAGACAAGGCAATGAGAGACACCATAAAGACAAAGCGAGTCGACATATCAACATCTTACCTTGCGGAGTCTTGTCACGGTACTGCAAATCCTCCATGCCATGTTCCAGAACACGCACCTCAAACAAGGGGCGGCCATCATCCTCGCTGATGCGACAACGGTAGCGACAGCGCTTGTTGGGCACACGCGTGCTCCAGTAGATGCGAGTGGCCTCATAGCCGACGGGGAAGATGGCCGTGGGCGAGTGGAAGATGGCCATTTGAGAGGGAAGCAGCTGACCGACGGCGTGAAAGATGAGACCACCGACGCGGAAAAGGTGGACGCGGTCCCCTCGCTGCAAGATGCTGGCTATCTGCTTGACCTCATCTCGCTCGATGTAGACCCGCCGTAAAACGGCGAACGAGAGGAGCTCGTCTTCGCTGGGGCCCTTCAGCTTGTGCTGGGTGCACAACATGGTTTTGTCTTTGAAGAACATGCAGCGGGCCCGAATGGCGCAGGCAAAGTGGTAGACATTTGGGCAGCGCAGTCGGTTGCAGCTGTTGGTGGCGCCCGTTTTCTGGCAGCACGCGCACAGAGTGCGCAATCCGCGACGCAGCGCCACCTCTACATTGATAAGCGCACCGCCTTGCGTCTCGTAGACCTCGGTAGACCAAAGGGCACAGTTGAGGTGCACCCATAGGTCCACATCGATGTTCAGCAAGCGGGCAGGCCCGTCCGTGGCACCGTCACCCTCTTCGTGGCAGAAACAGCATTTGCGTTTATCCCGTGGCAACCTCTCGGGTCGCAGAGTAATGCGGAGGCGCTCCATCAGTTCAGACACCTCGCGGCTGCTCTCTTTCTTGGAGCCACCCTTGCGGATGGAGATGACAATCTGCAGCCGCTTCCAGCGAATCCCTTTCCATTTTTTCACATTGGGGAGTAAGACGTCCTCATCAGGAGAGAGAGGCCTGCGTTGCATTATGGCCTTGAGCGAGGACTCCAGCGGGCTGGGACAATCTGTCATGAGAGCATCGCTGACCGATTCTTCCTCCTTGGCAGCAAAAGTGAGAGGATCTTCTGGGGGAACAGTGGAATCAGGACCTGCGGGGTTAGACGTTGGATCAGAGGCCGTCTCTGGAGCCGCAACCGTCGACATCGTCACGTCAACGTATTCTACAAGAGGACCAGCGCCATCGTGCTCAGGCTCCATCTTGATCTGGGCAGCGGTCAGAGTGGCAGGCAAGGGGGATGAGAAGGCTGACTTTTTAGAGGATTCGACCTCATGAGGTGGAAGTGGAGCTTGGGAGGAAGGAGGAGGAGGGGATGGCGACGGAGGCGGGGATTCCTCCACTGGTATAATCGGAAGGTGGCGCACATCCAAGTCATTTACATTGGTGGTATAACAGTGCTGGACTCTCTTGTCTTCATGATCTGGGAATTCCTGAAAGCAAATGCACACATATATTGCTGAAGAAATAAAACACGCAGCAACTGAGCAGAGGCAAAAACTCTTCAACGGACCTGTTTAATCAGTGCCAGAATGTCCACCTGTTTCTTTAATGTGCAGCCAGGCAGAGACACGTCAAATTGCCTCAACCACTCATCCTGACTGGATGAGGCACTGTCCTTTTGACACACAGCACCTGCAAGACACGGTCGGTTGTACATCATTAACAAGTTCGCCTGACTTCATCCCTTCTGTCTGTCAGGATAATAACCAATGTGTTGCCCTACTATAAATGGACACCACATTACGTGTTAAATGTTGCCCACTTGGCATCCGTTGCAGCCTGCTCATCTTATTTTTCCAGAGATGGGGTTTGTCTTTGAATTCTTTCTTGCCTTCCTGTGGGGTTATGATTAGTGGATGTCGTTAATATTTGTCAACTGTGGACTTGCGAAACCCAGTGAGACTATTTTGTGATTAAGGGCCAGATAAATAAATGTGACTTGACTTGTTTTTTTAAAGAAATCATTTTAATGGGTGTCAACTCGGGCTGTGCGATATGGCCAAAATTTTGTAATATTTTTGACAGGTATCTTGACCACACTTCAATAATTATTACGGGTTCTGTGAAAACTGAGCTTTTTTTTTTTTTTTTGTTAAAAAAAAAAAACAAGCGACCAATCCAAAAAGATGCGGAAAGTAGGTTGTTTCTTTTATTTACTGACAGCCATCAACATGAACAAAGTCGGCAACAAATTCAAAATTAAAACCACATTCTACTGCAACTGTGCTTGAATGACAAATAATCACATTATGTGACAACAGAAGTGATTGTGTGTTAACTGCATCAACAACCGTAGCAAGGATACACAGTTTAGGATGTGGATGGATATGTTGTGTGGCTTGGAGAGAAAAAAAAGAAAATGTTAACTAACCCCTCACCGCCGCACACAGCGATGGCTCTGTAGGCATTCATGCAATACACGGAGACGTGCCGTGGACTCCTAGCGATATGAACTGTTTTGATGCTCCCCATACAATATGTTGCATTGTCTCCCTTTTTATTAATCCGCAAACAGATGGTGGCAGTCATCGAAGACGTGCGTTGCGATAAATAGGATGTGGATGTATATTGAAAAGAGAGGCTCACTCCCATTGGACCATCGGAGCCGCAAGCGGCTCATACATTTTTACGAGCTCTTGTACTTTATCCACTGCCAGGTAATTTTGAAATGATAAATATAGTCGCGTAATGCTCTAATAGACAATGTATGTGTACCGTCCGTACACACTTGACAGCGAACATGGAAGGGGATTTAATGTACGTGTGCTGCCTTGGCAGCAGCGGCTGAATTATGTCCTTCCTCTCTCTCACCCTCCGCAAGGTGATTCTTATCTGCTGGTTTGAACTGTCGATCAAGCGCAGACTTGAAAAGGGGGGAATCTGGTTGGTTTAACTGACATTTACATGTAACACACGCGTGGTAAGGTCACGTGACTTATATTGTCCTCATTTCAATGTTAATATCTTGAATGTTCATATCTCAATTTCAATGACGACAAAGATATTTCGCCCAGTACCTGACTGTACAGGCACTTTCCCAGGATCATCCACTCCGGGCATATCAGGGTTCTGGGAAGGGAAGGTCACCTCATATGAACCTGGCATCCTTATCTTGAGCAGTTGGGCCATTGCCATCATCACATGGTTCAGTTTCTGGGAAAGACACGGATTAGTTTTCAGTCAACTATGCATGGAGGAACAACAGAGTTAGAACAGCATGCAATCATCTTGTAGCGTCATACCTTGGCTGCCAAGGAGGACAACGTGAAGGTAACAGCCACCTCATTACTTTTGGCCTTATCCCAGTGGTTGGATATGGAAAGCGCTCTTCCGTCATCTGCCTCAAAAGGTTTGTTCTCTGAGAACGCTAGCAATGTGAAGAGCACATGACGTTTTATTTCACCTTTCAGAAATCATTATGATCTTGCAGTAACAAGCACACTGAAAGGTTCTCCATTATATGTTCACATATTTAAAACATTTTTGGAGCCTAATATTGCCTGTTTTTACCTGGTATCGCCGTGCGAGGAATGAGGGGAATCACAGGCGATATTGCTCTCTCCGTCTCCTCTTCCTTTGGCTCCCGCAGGTTTGGGTATCGTGGGGTTTCCTCTCCAACATTACTCTCCGGGGAGGATGCCGGAATGATGCTTTCAGGAGCATCCTCATCGTCACTTTCCATCCTGTCAAAAACAAATCCGATTTTGTCTCACTTCAGAGCAAATGAATGCTTGAGACATCAGCAATGAAGCCCTGCTGTACCTGATGTCCTCATTCTGGTTATGGGGTGGTGTGGGAAGCGCCGCAAGAATGTCTACACTCTTTGTCTCCTCTGTAACTGCTTCTGTACAGACAATTCAGAGAGCATTTAGAAGCCGAGCTTTTGAACAATAAGTCAATAAAAATGCTCATTTGATGCGGACGTTTTTTTTTTTTTTACCTATCGGTTTGCTTTTGGAATCTGCATTTTTCTGACCCTGAGAGAAATCCTCCCCAGGAGTCACTCCATTGAGCAGCTTGTGCTGTACAGAAGGCGGCGGTGTCGGGGGTAGCGAAGATGGAGGTGTTGGTGGGTTGCTGAGGTTGCTCTGTGAAGAAGACAATTGCCCTTGAGGAACTTCCTAAAATAGGATGACCGAGGACACAGACCTGAGCTTGGCTTTACCTTTGTGAGTAACTGGGAATAGTAGTCCGGGATATTGTCCAGCATTGCATTTCCAAAGGATCCTTTGAGTTGGGCTTTTCCATTGACTGGGCTGCTCCCAAACGGAGCAAAGAGATCCAGGCTTGCTGTGATAGAAGGTTCCATCAAGGGCAGCAGAGACAGACCCTGTAAAATTAACCCCAATTAGCACCCATTGAGGAATCAATCATTTGAGGAATGCATGTGCATGTTGTCACCCATTTACCTGTTTTAGTTGCTTTATAAGTGCTTCAGCACTCTTTCCAACTTCTTCCTTCTTATTCTTTTTCCGTGCATTAGGCCCACGGTCTCCAGGTGCTTTATTGGTGCGCTTTGGCTTTTGTGGCGGAGCCCTTTTGCTTATAGACTGCAAATCCTGAGCGACAAGAAAATAGCACATCACCATAGAAGAACCCTGAGGGTGAAATATAGATACTCCTTAGCCCTCAACTAAAAGAAAACTTACCTCCATATTTCGTGGTGTCCCTTGAAGTTTTTGTTCCAGCATTGCCAGCTTGCTGTTGATGTGGCCATTGATCTCATTGTGGATGCCATCAGAGGGCCGCTGGGCAGCAAGCTGAAGGTTTTTTGTTCTCAAGAGTTTCTGGAGCAATTGTTGTCCAGTTTCAGATCTGGTGTCATCTGCATTAATGAATGCAGAGTTGCTCCCAGAAGAAACCATGTCAGCTGTCGCTTCTCGCTTTATAGCACCAGAGTGGGCTTCTCCTGCACCATCACAGTGTACCTCCCTTGGCTCCTGTTTAATGTTTTGCAGCGTCAACTTGCATAGATTCCCTTCTGTAGAGCCATGCAGTGGGCGAGGAGCAAGGCTTTCGGCAACTTGTGGTGACTGTTGCTGGACATTTGATCCTGTCTGAGGACCATTTGGAATCAGCGTAGTTGTAGGGGGTGTTTCACTAACGGACGTCTGCGATTCGATTTTCAGCCCAGCACAGTCAAGTGGAGTCTTGGCTCCTGGTGACCTAAGTGGAGACGATTTGACTTGACTGTATGGACTTCCCCTTCCAGCTCTATTGTCGGCTACCGAAGGTGTCGTGACATGGGATGGGTGTGAGGGGCTCATGCCAAAAGAACCTCTTGGAGAATATGCATGAGCAGGGGATCCCTGCATGCGGACTCCTCCAGATGCTCCTAGCGCCTGCTGCTGTTGGTGCTGGTTAGGCGTCGGTGTGCGCATCCCTACAATTTGGTTCAGCGGATGTCTGAGATCACCTGGGTGCGTGGGTAGTGACTGACGAGGTGATGTGGGCCTGATCATACGGCTGTGGTCCATCGGAGACCGTGGCACTGGTAACTGTCCTCTCATAACCGGATGTTGGATTGCTTCTCCTATTTGCGGCTGTGGTTGCCCTGGGACCATCATTCCCTGTTTGAACTGAGGAGAACCACTCTGTTGCTGAGCGCACATACCTCCTGGCTTCCCCGTGGCGCCATACGGTATATTTTGCCCTTCCATTCTTGGCATTTGCTTTCCAGCATGTGGCGCCTGTCCCGGTAACGCGTGATGTCTCAACTGACTTTGTTGTAACAATAAGTCAATAAAAATGCTTCATTTGATGCGGACGTTTTTTTTTTTTTTACCTATCGGTTTGCTTTTGGAATCTGCATTTTTCTGACCCTGAGAGAAATCCTCCCCAGGAGTCACTCCATTGAGCAGCTTGTGCTGTACAGAAGGCGGCGGTGTCGGGGGTAGCGAAGATGGAGGTGTTGGTGGGTTGCTGAGGTTGCTCTGTGAAGAAGACAATTGCCCTTGAGGAACTTCCTAAAATAGGATGACCGAGGACACAGACCTGAGCTTGGCTTTACCTTTGTGAGTAACTGGGAATAGTAGTCCGGGATATTGTCCAGCATTGCATTTCCAAAGGATCCTTTGAGTTGGGCTTTTCCATTGACTGGGCTGCTCCCAAACGGAGCAAAGAGATCCAGGCTTGCTGTGATAGAAGGTTCCATCAAGGGCAGCAGAGACAGACCCTGTAAAATTAACCCCAATTAGCACCCATTGAGGAATCAATCATTTGAGGAATGCATGTGCATGTTGTCACCCATTTACCTGTTTTAGTTGCTTTATAAGTGCTTCAGCACTCTTTCCAACTTCTTCCTTCTTATTCTTTTTCCGTGCATTAGGCCCACGGTCTCCAGGTGCTTTATTGGTGCGCTTTGGCTTTTGTGGCGGAGCCCTTTTGCTTATAGACTGCAAATCCTGAGCGACAAGAAAATAGCACATCACCATAGAAGAACCCTGAGGGTGAAATATAGATACTCCTTAGCCCTCAACTAAAAGAAAACTTACCTCCATATTTCGTGGTGTCCCTTGAAGTTTTTGTTCCAGCATTGCCAGCTTGCTGTTGATGTGGCCATTGATCTCATTGTGGATGCCATCAGAGGGCCGCTGGGCAGCAAGCTGAAGGTTTTTTGTTCTCAAGAGTTTCTGGAGCAATTGTTGTCCAGTTTCAGATCTGGTGTCATCTGCATTAATGAATGCAGAGTTGCTCCCAGAAGAAACCATGTCAGCTGTCGCTTCTCGCTTTATAGCACCAGAGTGGGCTTCTCCTGCACCATCACAGTGTACCTCCCTTGGCTCCTGTTTAATGTTTTGCAGCGTCAACTTGCATAGATTCCCTTCTGTAGAGCCATGCAGTGGGCGAGGAGCAAGGCTTTCGGCAACTTGTGGTGACTGTTGCTGGACATTTGATCCTGTCTGAGGACCATTTGGAATCAGCGTAGTTGTAGGGGGTGTTTCACTAACGGACGTCTGCGATTCGATTTTCAGCCCAGCACAGTCAAGTGGAGTCTTGGCTCCTGGTGACCTAAGTGGAGACGATTTGACTTGACTGTATGGACTTCCCCTTCCAGCTCTATTGTCGGCTACCGAAGGTGTCGTGACATGGGATGGGTGTGAGGGGCTCATGCCAAAAGAACCTCTTGGAGAATATGCATGAGCAGGGGATCCCTGCATGCGGACTCCTCCAGATGCTCCTAGCGCCTGCTGCTGTTGGTGCTGGTTAGGCGTCGGTGTGCGCATCCCTACAATTTGGTTCAGCGGATGTCTGAGATCACCTGGGTGCGTGGGTAGTGACTGACGAGGTGATGTGGGCCTGATCATACGGCTGTGGTCCATCGGAGACCGTGGCACTGGTAACTGTCCTCTCATAACCGGATGTTGGATTGCTTCTCCTATTTGCGGCTGTGGTTGCCCTGGGACCATCATTCCCTGTTTGAACTGAGGAGAACCACTCTGTTGCTGAGCGCACATACCTCCTGGCTTCCCCGTGGCGCCATACGGTATATTTTGCCCTTCCATTCTTGGCATTTGCTTTCCAGCATGTGGCGCCTGTCCCGGTAACGCGTGATGTCTCAACTGACTTTGTTGTGCTTGGTGGAGCTGTCTCTGTGCAATCATAGCTTGAATGTGTTGTAACTGTTGATTTGGGGGTAGATTGCGCAGTTGTGGATTTTGAGCAATGATAGCCTGCACCTGGAGGTTGATAGTGGGGCGTACAGCTGCAGGTGGAACCGCAGCCCTCTGTGCCACCATGCCTTGCTGCTGAGCTCTGATCATGCCCATCATGGCCTGTTGTTTCTGCTGCTGTGCAATGAGGCTTTGCTGTTGAGAATGATTCATTAAAACCGACTGTGGCTGGCCAATAATCTGTTGCTGGATGTTGGGATCTTGAGATTGCTGCATGACATTCTGAGCAGTTTGTAGCCGTTGTTGTTGCTGCTGGCCTAAGAAATCCACAGATTTCCCTTCTTCTTTAACCACCATCACTGCGGGCTTGTCAGTAGTACCCAGATCTTGCCTCTGTGGCTGTTGCTGAACCACACTTGCCTGTTGATTCAAAACCAAACTGGTTTGTTGATCAGGAAGTGGTGTTTGTTGCTGCACCACATATGCCTGGTCTTGGTGCTGCTGATGAAGTGATTGTGGGCCCAAATCGGCTTGCTGATCATTTGTGGGACCTACTTGGGTCGTGTGATTGGGGGTGGAGGATCCACTATGCTGTGATGGGGTTTGGATATCCGGGCTGAGAATGTCACCCTCTTTATTTACCCCTATTTGACTATCTGCACCTCCTAATGGCTGAGGAGTGGTACGGCCTGTTGAGGGGGATGAGCCCATTTGTGGCGTAGAGGGTTGGGAAAGCCTTCCTTGCTCTTGGCTTGATTGAATCATCAATGGTGTTTGTTGCCTTTGTTGTGTCATGGATTGCTGCTGAAGTTGCGCAAAGGATTTTGCGACATTCTGCTGCTGCTGTTGCTGCTGCTGCTGCTGTTGAGAAGAAAGCACCCTTTGAGCCAGAATGTTCTGTTGTTGTTGAGCCATCTGAGCCTGGGGACCCCTGAGGACAAGATGACCTGGAGAGACAATAATTCCCTGCTGACCCATCATTGGAGCCCTCTGCTGCTCTTGCTGTGTAACTGGATGGTTTCCAGTCAACCCAGGTTGAGAAGCCACCATGGCTTGAGGCTGGTTATTGGGTTGGCCAGCACTAAAGTTCTGAGGTGGTGGAGCCACAGTTGGGGCTGCACCCATTACTTGTGGAACCTGAGCTATGTTCTGCTGATTCACCTGATTGGCTAACATCTCCTGTTGAAGATTTGCTTGCTGCTGGGATCCAAGTGGGTTCCCCATCAAAGCGGGCTGTGGCTGAGTTATTAAGGCCGACTGTTGATTTCGATGTTGCTGCTGGCCCATCATCGCTTGCTGTTGCTGCTGGAGCTTTGCCATGTGCATCCTATGCTGAAGCTGTCTTTCTTGGAGAAGCCTGGGGTCAGCACCCTGCAGTCCAGGTGGCCCTTGTGAGAAGAATCCGGTTGGAGCACCGGGGGGACATGTAGGCCTAGCACCGTTGGTTCCAAGAGGTACCGGAAGCTGAGGTTGGGCTCTTGCGATGAAAGGCTGACCTTGGGGCATCCGGACGGGCATTCCACCTTGGGGAATCATACCAGGGTGCTGGCTAATGACTGGACCTCCCTGTTGACCCATCATCATCTGCCCAGGTAATTTGGGAAACATGTGAGGTGGGGTTGCCTGTGCAGAATGTCCAGGAGATAGAAGACCTGGGCCTTGTTGCTGCTGCTGCTGCTTGCTTCTATACTCAGCAATGAGATTGGTATGCTCTTTCTGTTGCTTCCGCACCTGGAGCAAAACAGAGTGAAAAAAAGAAAAGAAAAAAACAATAAAAATAATTAAGACAAGATGAATTTTCGTGAGTTGAAATACATTGTTTTATTTGCAACCAGGACCATGATTATGCCCTGATTAGCATAATAATGAATGAACGAACTAATTAATCGGTGACATTTTTTTAATCTACTGACCTGGTCAAGCTGTTTCTGAATTTTACTTTGCTCTTCTGTGACCAACTTGAGTTTCTCAGCATCTGACTCAGCAAACTCTCTGCCAGCTTTCTTCGCAGTGCGTTGTTTAGCACAAAGCGCCTTACGTGATTTTCGATGGACTCCAATTTGCTCTTCCAAAAATTTTAACTGCATTTGGAGTAATTGCTGAGTGTGAACAAGCCATTCCTCATACTGGTGCTGTTCAGAATTATCTGTAACCACAAAATCATATTAGTCATCTATATGCAAGGTACATTAGCGAGATAACAACAACAATGTAAGGCCTTTACTTGTGAACTAATACATTTGTTATTGTCAGTGTAGTACATACTGATAACTCCTTGAACAAACTGAGGCGGGTTTGCTCTCGACTGGGTGGGATCACTGGTTTCTCCCTCCTAAACACACAAAAATAAAATCTATTGCTCATGTCAAAGGATATATTTAATGTTTCCCTTTGCCAAAAGTAACAGCTTACTTTTGGAGGCACTGATGAAATTTGACCAGGATCTGCACCTGAGGCAGATGACAGCCTTTGAGCAAGTAGAGAAACCTGTTGCCTGAGAAGAAAGCAAAACATACATACATGGCAACATTGCTACAATGACATCAACACATAAACACAGAGCTTTGTTGAGTACTATATGAAATTGTGTTTGGTTCAGGTTTCTATTGCTGTAAAAAAATGAAGAAAGAACACAAGACATTCAACATATGTATAAAAAAAGGATGTTTTTGTTTGTTTATTAAGTACCTGTTAATGCCAGAGGGCACAACCATGGGGTCCTGTGCTAACACTCTTTTGATACCCTTAAGAGCCACCATCTTTGCCTTGGCAATGGGATCCATGATGTCATCAGTGGCAAATTTGTCTAAATCTGTAAAACACCACCAAAGCAATCTGTTGATGTACGGAGGAAAAAATGGTGTTGGAAATTAATTATAGATAAAAGCCATAGCAGGTACCTTTGTCTGGGAAGAAACTGTTGGCCAGAGGTGACTGCTTCACCACAGGTTGCTGAGGTGGGTGACTGAGACCTGCATGCATTCCTGGCTGGCCCATTCTCACCATGGCTTGCTGCTGGCTCATGACCATGTGAGGTGACTGTGCCATTGCTGTTCCTAAAAGCCTTTGTTGATGCTGCAGCATGTGTGGAGCACGCGGTACCATGCCGGGCTGGGCCATCACGGCTTGAGATGGCAGACGGTGGTGTTGCGGCAGCATTAATGGTACGGGTGCCTGGGGATTTGACTGTTGACTTGGAACGCAAGAAAAATGAGGCGCCATGCCTCCCTGGTGAAGGGAGCTAAGCTGTTGCTGCTGTTGCTGCTTCTGCTGCTCTTTCTTCTCATGTTCCAGAAGATCTTGTATCAGGAGAGGCAGCTCCCCATCCAATGAGCTTTCTACCTTTGCCAAATCTACAGCAGCAGAGGGTTGTCCTCCAACATCGGGCAGGTCAAGTGTATCATCGCCAATATCTGTATGCGCAGCACTAGTAGGAAAAGGCAAGGGTCCATCCTGGCCTTGTAGGGGGTATGGAAGTCCCCCTAAACGAACAGAACTGAGGGAAGCTGACTGGTGATCTTGCTGTGCAGGCATGGCCGAAGTTGTGTTCCCACCCAGAAGCAAAGAGACAGCCTCTACCATTTCATCTTTTACAACATTCTGTCCTGACAAGAGCTGAGGGGGGAGAGATTCTACTTTGACTTTTGAGTTGGCAGCTGTGTTAGGGGAGGATGGCATTTGGGTGGTTGATCTGCCTGGCGAGGATGCTGTCTTTGAAAGGGATTCCTGCCCCGATTCCAACTTGGCTTTTTCTTCCACCGTCACAAGTGCAGATCCAGAGGCTGTTGACGGAGTTTCACTTTCTGCTTCTACTAAACGAAGCTGATCTGAGAAGCCATCCTTGGGGTCTCCTTGGTCGAGTTCGGGGTCAGTGTAAGCCAGCAGGTCAAATTCATCACTATTAAGCAAGTCATCAAGATGTGGATCATTAGTTTCCAGGTTGTCCAGGTTTCCCAATTCATCATCTCCTTTGTCTGGATCCAAATCAAGACCTAAATCCTCTTCATCCTCCACACCTCCATCTCCGGGGGCATCCCCAAGGCCGTCAAGATCAGGCTCTGGCAGTGTCTCGTTGTGTTCTGACACAACAGCTTGGGTTTGTTCTGTGACTAGACTTGGCTGTGACAGCTGCCGATGTCCGACGCAAGGAGCTCCTGCCATGGGCTGTTGTGTCCCTGGGACTGCAGACTGCTGAGGTAATAAAGCTGATAGTTCACTCTGCTGCTGTAATTTCAATTGGGAGTCAATACCCCCCTCAGACGGAATAGCACCGGCATGTGCTATGGGACGCTGCTGAACATAAGGTGCTGGCATCTCTTGTGGGACAAAGAGCCGCTGTCTGGGCTGAGGTCCACGAGGCATAAACTGGGGTCTAAGTGGTAGCCTCTGTGAATTGTGTCTTAATTCAATAAACTGTGGTGGGGGTCCTTGGCCTATTGCTTGCATATTCTCTCCACTGTGCCCTGGTATGATAGTGTGAGGGTGACCCATGCCTTCCATACCCTGGATGCTGACAGCAGAAGTGAGATTGTGCCTTATGGACATAGCCTCCATGCCAGGGTGGGGGAATCTCCTTGGTCCTGCAGCATGCCACTGAGGTGGGAACGGTGGACGAGGAAACATGCCCTGAGGCTTGGTGGGCCCTGATGGCCTGAACGACAGACATGAAGAAAAGATAGGAAACAGAAAAATACTTCAGTGGAAAGTGTTACCCACAAAAAATGGACACAGTGCCAATGCAATAATGTTAAGTTACTGATACACATCAGATATCGCAAAAACAGAGATTTAATGTCAAATATTAACTTATCTTCCTTTCGTGAATTACAAACTAACTAGGCCTACTGCTGTTAGAAAGGTGACCAATATACACTGTGCTCTATATTTCTGATCATTTGCAACAGATGACTAAATGACAGCTGGCAGGCCTACCTGAGTGTGCTAGGATCCATGATAGCAGGTGTTCCTGTGGATGATGGGCAAATGAGCTTCTCAGCCATGCCGCTGGCATTCACAGGGAGCTTTCCGATAGCAGAGGCCTGAGCACCAGCAGGATTAACAGCAACACGATCCTAATTAAAGAAGCCAACGGAAACAACAATGTGTTTAAATTTGCCATTGTCAGACTGCTTGTCACATGTGACAATACCTTCCCTGCCCACTACCTGCTCTGGAATGAGCTACCAGTCCATCAGGACCAGAACGAACCGACTCAGAGACAGCTTCTTCCCACAAACAATCACTGCACTGAATTTATAACACCAATTTATCCCATAGTGCGGCTGCACTGCTAGTATACATATAATGCCTGGCTTACTGGCTGCTATTTTTTATTTATTATTATTTTTATTCTTCAAACACAAAAATTAGGTTCCACCCCAAAGTCCATGTATCTCCATCATAGAATGACAAAGGCTCTATTCTACTGCAGGGTATATCTTTTTATGTAAGTGGAACAAGTGCTTTATAACAAAAGAAGAAGCAAATACTGTTCTAACGACGGTGACAAACCACTCCAGTCCATTCTAATTGTCAATTGAGTTTTAGTCAGAAAACGATTAAGGCTTCGATGAATGATGTTTTATGGACGTACATGGTCACTCATGCAACGTAAGATGGTGTCCTTTACCTTGGGGTAAGTGCTGTTGCGACCCTCCGTAGCATCTAAGCATTCACTCTCTGGGCATGGCTACTCGACTTTCACTCAAGGCAACCGTTTCACTAATGTAGAAATTCGGTTATTCTTGGTTTGAGTGATCATGTGTGGATGTGGGCAAAGGGATGATGTCATCTTTCCTTTTGCCAATAATAGTACTTTTTTCTGCCGTCACATGGCGACTGGCGCATGCACCTTTCTGCTCAACGCCAATTTTTCTTTTAGCAGTATAATAGTGATTTGGTCAAGCCATTTAATTTCATGTAGATTTGTTTTTATGTATTTATTATGCAATAATGTTATAGTTGAAAGTCTTATTTTTTTCCCTGATGTTTTTCCTTGCCCTCCTGTTGGGTTAAGATCAGAGGATGTCTTTAATAATTACCAACTATGGGCTTGTGAAGACCTTTGAGACACATTTGTGATTAAGGGCTATCTATATACATAAATTTTATTTGAATTGGCCTGAAAAAGACAAGTTAATTTACTTAAAAAATAATATTTAAAAAATAGTTCTAATTCTACTATTTGTGGAAGGAAAGATTATTATACGAATTTGTCGTAAGGAAGAAATACAGTTATGAGATCGATAAGCAGTATTGCTAAGAGAAGTTGTATCATTAAAATCTCAACGATACCCGCCCTACTTATATGAGCATATTTTATTCTTGCTTGTCCTGGACTGAAGCAGAAAATGAAACATGATGCGTTTCATAGCAGGTGGCAGCACATTGGATTGTAGAATTACTGGACATACACAACCAGGATTCCATTCCATTCCATCCCAGGTACAAGAATGACCTAACTCTTATTAACAAAAATGTTTTCTCTTTTCTTCAACATGGAGAGACAGCTACCAAAGTGCCTTGTAGTTGACAAGATGTTGAGGCTTATGATCTACGATTACATATGTGTACAGGGAACGTATTCACGGTTTGGTGTTTGCAAATTTGTATAATAGGTCCATGAGGCATAAAATTCATGCCAAAGCAATAAAAGTATTGCTTTGCTACCATCTTGTGGCATCTAAGGGCAATTATAAACATTTAGAGGGGGGATTTTTGCCACAGGGCTTGGTTCCTTTCAGGGGTGACGAGCAGGGATTTCACTGTACCTGTGGATAAGGTGGTGGTGCTCTGTGGGTCTTATCTTGTTGAAATGCACCCATCTCTCCTCCTGGCCATCCAGGAGAGGCGTTGCCTGCAGCAGCTGCAGCTGCCTCCTTTTCTTGTCTCATTGTGTTCCGTTGCATTTGTTGTCTAATTAGAAATTCCCTCAATTTCTGACGCTAAAAGCACGTAGACACACACAAATTAAAAACCAAACATTTAGGGGATAACAACATACATTTTTAGGCCAATACTTTTCATACCTGTCTGTGCTTCTCCAGCTCAGATGGACTCAGGCCCACAAGTGCAGGGTCTTGCACTGCTGACACATCAGCCATTTCTTGAGCAGCCGGCAAGGATGGCTGATGAGGTGCATCTTGAGATCCAGAAGGAGGCATCAGTGTAGAACTGCAGCTGTCTGCAATAGTAGTTTGATGTGTTTGCGGCTGGCTTTGCTGTGGCTGTGACTGACCTGGTGCCTGCTGTTGGGATATCTGGATGCTTCCTGTGCTAGGGCCAAATGGAGGAGGGGGTGCTGAGGATTTGCAAGAAAGAAGATCTCCGATGGGACTACCGCTGGAATGCAATTGAGGTGACTGATTTGAATTAGGTGAGCTTTTGAAACTTGTACTACCATCTGGTGCAGCAGAAGTGGGGCGAGGTGGTTTGTGGATAGTCATGAAAGGGTCTCTAGATTGTGGCCTTGAAGGTGGCTGAGAACAGTGATCTGGAGACTGGAAACGTGGGGTTACAGGAGACTGCGCAGAATAAGCATCATTGGAGAGCCCCCCAGGAGTGTGGGGAGACTGGCAACTGCCCTGGGATTGTGGGCTGGAGGGAATTCTCGAGCACATTTCTTGTTGCGTTACCGGATGTCTCTGCGGTCCAAGAGGGCAACCGTCACCTGACTGCAACTTGGGAGCCAGTGGAGACTGAATGTGATGGTCAGAGAAAGGGTGAGAGGGAGACTGCCTGTACCCTTCGGAGGGGTGGCTTGGGGAGGCTCCAGGAGGAAGCGCTACACCGTCCCCTTGGTGCATTCGTGGTGTCAAAGGTGCCTTAAATAGTCCATCCCCAGACTCTAGCATCCCAGCAGGGGACCCAGTGGCAAGGTCGGGTCTTCCGACAGGAGTGCCGCGAGGAGAAGGTGCACTCATATCAGCTCTATACTGGCTGGCAGGTGAGGACGCAACTGAGGGTATTGGGGATGAACCGTAATCTGTCTGCAAAGTTCTTTGAGGGTCTCCGTAATGTGCATTATGAGGTGGCGAGAAAATGGGGGACTCAATCCCAATCCCAGCACTTCTTGAATGAGGGCTTTGTAGGGGTGTAAGGGACTCTTGAGAGCCTTGTGACAAATGACCCTGTTGATGCTGTAACTGTGATCTGAAATAGGGGTCAACCTGCTGAGCCCGTCTGGTGGCTCCTGAAGTCATTGGTTGCATGTCAAAGGGGCCAAGACTAGCTGGCCGTCCCTGAGGAGGACCCTGTGGGCCGCAAGCAGAATAACCTGAGGAGGAGGCCTGTATGGGACTGGCCCCAGCATAGGATAAAGGAGTTGGTGGGTGGGAGTGAGAACGTGGTGACTGAGGGGGGAGCTTGGCAAAAGGATCTGTATGGATTTCAGCTGATCCTGGGGTCTTCGCAATACCGTCTGAGAAAAATACAGAGGAGGATCCTGAATCTGGGGGGAAAGGAAATGGGCTTTCTGCCGAGCTTGGCTGAGACGAGATGGACGTAGATCCAGAAGGTGGCGGGATCTGGAGGTGTAAACTTGGTCTTTCCCCTTTCACACGCGCTGGCTCGGCCTTGACAGGCCTGCACACCTGACTCTCTGCCTGCTATGAGATCAGTAAAGGAGAAATGAGAAAGCATTTTTTGTAACTTTCACTTGCCATGACTATAAGAAGTTTGAACTCACCTTCTGTGCCTTGTTGATCCTTTGAGCTGCTCGGTTGTCTTTGGCCTTTTGCTGTTGAAATATCAACATGTCAAATCAAATTCGATCCAATTTATTGTCTGGTAGAAATATGTGTCTTTTTTTTATCCACTTAGTGGTAGAGCCAAAAAGAATATCTTTTGCTCCAGTTGTTGTAGGCCGCAATAATTAATGCAAAATGTAATATAACGAGATACCCTACCAGATAAGGAACCTTGTCAGCTGCTGACACTTTTCGCCAGATCTTCATGATTTGCTTACAACGACTTGCCCAGTCTGGGAAAGGGCAAAGAAATGCAACAAATGTACAAAGTATAATATGTAACGGAGCAAAATTGAAACAATATTTATCATATGATAATCGCCTTCCACACACACCTGGATAGTCCTGTTTAAGAGTGGGAAAATTGCTGTTGGCATAAAGAACAGGGGAAATGGTTGATAGTTCTCCCAGCTCCTCGTCTTTCTCCCATCGCTGGAGACTGCGCTGGTTATAGGACAGTCCATCGCCTTCTGCCTCAGTGGGGGTTGGCGGTGAGGAAGGAGTCGCCGGGGTGGACGGAGTCGCCAAAGGACTCTCCTCACCACCGTTTGGACTGAACATCCCTCCTTTTTCTCTGAACACAATTTAAGAGGATGAAGGCTTACATGATACATCATCTGAAGCAATACAGCTTCGTTGGAAAACAATGAAATATAAAAAAATAACATACATGCATTGCCTGTAGCAGAATTGAGCTAAGCCATGCAATGCTGAATAGGAAATGTAGCCCTTCCTTACCGTATGTCAAAGAATGGTGACTGAGAAAGGGCAGGGAAAGCATCCATAACTGCAGTTGAGGGCAATGACCCTAGAAAATATGTTTATTTCAAGACCAACCCCATATCAAATTTCATTTAATCACTGTTCCAACGCCAATAAGATGACAATAGGCTTATCCGTAGGCATCCTATTCGACGCACCTGAGAGAAGAGGTCTTTGTGGCAGGGCCCTACAATTGAGTTCTCCCTTATTGCCCTCTGAGATGGGCTTCATACCCTCCAGGGTGGAGCCTTCTGACACTCCAAGAACTTTCCTGAAAAACTGCTCAGAATCCTGATTCTCTACTCCTTGTGGAAGAGCTGACATGGAAGGACAACACCAAAGAAGCAAAAAGTTTAAAACCTCTGAAACATTTGTTTTTGTGCACCGTTAAGTCCAAGGAATCATCTATGAGTACCTTCACGTTTTTCTGCCTCAAAGTCATGAGGATCAGTTGACCCTGGGTCCTTCAGTATTGAGGATGGCGCAGAGACTCCTGAAACATATGGATGTTGTCAACACAATTACATTCAAAGCAAAGCAAGACTAGAGGAAGTGACCCAGTTACTAACCTGCACCTTCTCCCTGAGCATGGGGGGCCTCACCCCCCTCTTGCTTGAGATTATGCACCATATGATCCTTGGCCTCAGCTACAAGGTAACAAGTTACAAATAGTTCACTTCTTTGTTCTGACATTGTGTGTCAACGTTCAAGTCATTTTTCTTACTATCTGTGGAAGTCGTTTTGAATGCCAATGGTTTTGGTAATGAAGGTTGAAGAATGCATGCAGCTGGCCTCTGTCCAGGGGTTGTCATTACAGCTTTCTTACTCAAGTCTATAAGTGTCTTTCCAAAGAAAGCCTCCTGCACCCAAAACACAGTATTGCACATGGGGATATTATACGGAGAAATCGTCCCATTGCTTTTCATTCGGGGACCACACAAAGACAGACCAACAAACCTGGAGATAGGCTGGAAACATGTCTTCAAGTTTGCTCTTCTTTCGTCCCCGACGTTTCTTAGCCTGTTCCTCGCCCTCCAATGGTTTAGGGTCCATGATGTTATCTGTGTCAGGATGGGGTCCTACGCACAGCAACAATTAAAACATTTTTTTAAATGGAAAATGTTCACAATGGTAGATGCTCAGATACACAAAATTTTAAAACTAATTGACATGCCATAGTGTGTCTTTACATCCTTTTACCTAACACCAGAGCCTTTGTGAATAATTTTAGTCTGAAAAGCTCCTAAGTAGTACACCATGGATGATGGACTGCAGTGTCCTATGATTATTAATAGAAGTAGCTAATTTATTATTGATTCCACCCCTCAATTAAACACAAAGTGAAATATTTAAGGGAACATGAAAAATTTCTTTTGCAAACAAATAATTGGGTCTCTGGTGTGGGTTTCTGCACCAAGTGTAAAAGTAAACAACCAAGAAAATCTTTTGTAATTTGCCGATTTCTGTAAGTAAGCAGTTCTTCATTTCCCTACACTGTGAACAGTTGGGCTTAATTAGCGGGGGATGAGTGTTTCTGGTCGATGACGTGACCACTGAATGTGCCACATGCACTGAGGAAGACACTAATTGACAAGCGCAGTATATCAAGTAGTAACTCTCCAACTAAAAATGCTGTTTTTGTCTTTGCGAGCGTGCACACTTTTTTCACCTACACCAAATTCCACTTCTGCATTTCGAACTCACATGCTTTGTTCAAACGCCTAGTGCCCCCTGGTCGCCGTGGTAACAAAAGCCTTACTTTGCACTGGTTCCGTGGTAAAGTGGGCAAGGCTAGCATTGGCTTGAAAGTTATGAGACAGGACGGCCCTCTCAAAATCCGCTAAGACTTGAGAGCATTAAAAAAAAGGGGGGGGGGCCTAAATCTTTCACGTACTTTGAAGAAAGCATGTCACAGATATATTATTACAAAACCAAGTACTGATAATTAATTTGTAGACAAAAGCATCATGTGTGTGTTTTACAAGAAAAAAAGCCATCCATTTTTGTTACTGACCCTCTTCAATAGTTCTCTCTATTGGCTGTCCATCTAAAGTAGTCTCTCCAGCCAGCTGGGCAAAAAACTCTTTCTTCAAGCGTGTGTGACACTTCCTTTGTCGAACCATGAAGCCACCAATTCCTGATGCAATGAATTCATATATTATCCAAACTTTTTTTTTTTTTTTTTGCGAAATATATCTTTTAAAATAACGTGAGCTTACCGGGCCTGTAGGGCTTCCGTTTTCTTTTTTTACCGTCTTCCGTATCATCGACCCCGCCTTTGAGAACGTCACACTCAGCCATGCCATCCGTGACTCCATCACCAGCACCTTCTCTGTCGGGGCTTCCAGGGTTCTCCATCTTAGCATCACAATCCATAGACTCTCCACAGACTAGATCACATAAAATTGAGTTTGAAAACAGCAGTGCATTGAAAAAATGTGGCTGGTTAAAATAGGTAAGCAGAAAATATTCCAACCTTTTCCCTCTTCCCCTTCTCCTTCCTCTCTCACATCCGTTCCATCAGGGCCTCCTTCACAGCACAAAGTGCCAAGGCGAGAGCGACGTTGGCGTCTCTTGAGCAAGGGCGACATGGAGATGGTCCGCAGCAGGGACATTCCTGATTCTGTCAGCCAAACACCCTCTAACCGGTAGAACTGCGGCTCTGTAAAGTTCCCAATGTAAAGGTGAAAGAGATAACGAACACAGAATGCACAAAAATACTTGGCCACAAAATTTCACGAACCTGGCTCTTTGATCCTTATTGAAGCCATAATGGCCGACTCAACTATAGTGAAAAACAGGTGAAAAAGAAAAAAAAAATACAGACATTTATCTATTAATTTCATACGGCAGCAATTCATGAATATTTTATCATTTGTTTTGTTCTGACTCACCGACAGGTTTGGGAACATATGGGCTGCATGATGTACATGCAAAGCCCTCATCGGATGCTTGTTCCACTTCATCCTCGGTATATAAACTCTCACAGACCGCATGCACCCATCTTCAAAAGGCACACAGAAGTGAAGAGTGTCGTGTGACAATCAGAATAAATCACACCGCATTAACTAATTCATAATAGATAACATATCATATATAGTCCCTGAAAGACAGCATTGGTGTCTGTCTAATAAATATTTCATTTGATTTTATTCACCTATTTCATTCTAATGAGCACTACCCACCGATCGCAATGCTGACACTGCAGGAGCAGCTCCTCCTCCATGAAGTTCTCTCTGCATACTGGACAGGTGACGAGGCTAGCACAGGGGCCACAGTGTGTGTAGTTATTCTGCCACTCACAGTGGAAACCTGGAGAGTTGGAACCGCATTGTACACAGTACACGCACCTGCAAAGTAGAGAATCACACAGTACCAATTAATCCATCCCCATTCCAAAAGACTACATATGCCAATGTGAGTATGTAACAATTAGTTTTTTGCTACAGAAGCCAGTAAATTGAGAGTCCCTGAATAGTTAATGCAATGTCAGATGAATGTTTTACATAATATGCAAAATTCCAGGAATTTATTTCCATTTGACCCCATTCAAAGTTACAAGGTTGAACAGAGCATTCAAAGATTTTTTTTCTTCTTTACCATTTGCATTTCCAACCTCCCTTGGGCACTGTGTGCAGCGGCGGGTCCAAGCAGTAGGTGTGATAGCTGACATCGCAGTCATCGCACAGTAGCAGACGGGAAGGGTCCGAAGCCTTGCCACATACTTCGCACACAATACATTCCAAACAGCGCCAGCCCTTGCGCAACATTGTCTTTGTGATCTAGAGAAGATAGCGCATTGAATACATCTTGGCTTACAAAGGACTTGGGTTTATAGCAGGTGAAAAAAAGACATATTCGAAGGGTTGCATTTACTTTGCTGTTCACACAGTAAGGATGGTAACATTGAGCACATTGCGCACAAGCCAACAACTGCCCCTCCGCGCCCTTTCCAAAGCTGCCGCATACAACGCACATATCCTGAAACACACAGCGGAAAGAAGAGAAGGGAAAAAAATTCATTCAAGAGTAACACATACGCCAAAATACAAATTAATGCATTTAAAATGAAGGTGCTGTACTTGGAGCAACACAAATTTGTCCGTGTTTGAAAAAAGAACCACTGTGTTCTGCATGGTGTCATCTTCCTCATCATCCTCCTCCTTACTTATTCCAGAGTCTGCAGTCATGCTTAGCTGTGGACAAGTGAACAAAAAAAACAAAGTTGAAATAATGAGTGTTATTCTTTCATTCTTAAGTTCCTTCTATAAAGCCAATGCAAAACTTGGCTCACCAAAAAGGCATCAATGCAAGAGGCCATGGCTTTGAGGCGAGACCTCCCACCCCGCCCTCTCCCTGCACCACCTCCTCGTGGTCGACGCTTTCCAGGGAAACTATTGCTTCGACCCTGACAAAAGTACACCAAGTCAGCTTTGTCTCATATAGTCAACATAAACAAAAATGTGTTTAACAATGAACACTGACCTGTTTGACCCTTGAGCGGCCGGGGGATCCCCTGCGCTTCACTTTTTCTGCGTTACTTCCAAGGGGTTCAAAGGGAAGTGAGTCATCGGTTTCAGAGCGGCCGAGCTCCATAGAAAGGTGAGGATCCGCTTCTCCGGGAGAGCCCAGGAAACCGCTGCTACTTTCATCTCCGTGGCTCATGTTGGACATTTCATCCAGAAGCAATTCTGGCTTCACCTCATCCTCCTGTAGTTCCTCTTTTATGTCCACATCGTCTCCTTGCCTTCTCATTTGCTCATCGTCATCTTCTTCATCCTCCTCCTCTTCTTCAGAGTGAGGTAGTAGCCTCTCCTCCATGTTGACCGTAGAGAGTCCGTCTTGTGTGTCCGATGGTAAAAGATGAGAAGATGACGGGCGCGCCTGGCATGGACTTGTGTGCCGCTCAGCAGACCGGTGTACGTTCTCCACTTTCTCTACAGATGCTCGAGAGGGTGGCAACTCCGACAGCGTCTCACAGAATGATTCGACACTTTGGAAGCCACCAGAACCGACCTTTATTAATGCTGCAGATCGAGGCCCATCCACAGACAAAAGAGACTCCTGATTCTCCACCTCCATATTTTCAGGGCCCTCCAGTGTTTCTTCTACTTCAGGATTTTGAGACTCTATTTTGAGTCTCGAGTCAGCTCGGATCACCTGTCTGACTGCCTCTTCTGCTCGCCTTTCACCAACAGGTTGATGAGGGCTGCCCTGTTTGGTTGAATACTCCTCAGCTAGGATGAAGAAAAGTATGTTATCACTTTCAACTCTTTCATTGGCTACATCACACTTTTGTCCACATAACATTTAGGTCAACAGTTGCTTGAGATTACTACCTGGAGACTCAAATGTCGCAGCAGACCTCTCTGAAATGCAGTTGTCTTTGTCAATCTTCAGCTCCTCCTCTGACAATTTGTCACCTACATCCGTTGTCCCATAAACAATAGCCTCCGTACCTAGAAGGAGAGAACTGGTTAAGGTCTGCTACATAGAGATGTGTTTTTTGTTGTTGTTTTTTTTTTTTTTAAATCGGTGTGCTCCAATAACCTCAAGACAAAGATTCTGTTCCAGAAGGATCTAGAATCGAGAACTCTTGCGCGATCAAAGGTGACAAAAAAGAGCTACAAATAAAACACCTTATGGAATCATCTTAAAACTTAAAATAATTTAGCCCTTGTTGAGAGGGGCAAAATCAGCCTGATTATTTATTTGTAGGTGTGTACCAGACCTAACTTACATGTTCCCACACACAAAAACATTTTTCTATTTTTCAACACCACTTGCATTGTGTGAATCCTCACTCTGTAAATTGTGTTGCTGCTGTGATAAAGGTTGCATGGTGTACCTGTAAAATACCGTGGTACCCCATTGTCAAAAACAAAAAGACCCATCCATCATCAATCCCACTTATCCTCACTAAGTTTTCGGGTGGGCTGAAGCCTATCGCAGCTGACTTTTGAGTGAAAGGCTGGGTAAATCCTGGAGTGGTCTGTATCCAAATGCAGAAAATTGGAGGGCACCATGTTTTTTTTAATGCCTGCCTGACAAAAAAAGTCGATTGCAGTGACAAAGGTAGGCGTCGGATGGTGAAATAACATACAAAGACAAGAAATGGCTACAAACTGCGCATTGCTTGCAGAGAAATAAGAGATGTGATTGCTGGAATGATTTTTCATATCCTCCATTTCCTAATATTTTAAATAAATACACAAAGAACTTGAGGCTCCCTGTTTGGCCCTCTATTACTCCTCTGCTTTTACTGATATCATAGCTCTTTGTCATTGCACTGTTTCGGGATTGCTACCAAGGTACGTTACACAAGTGTAGTATCAAAGTCTGAATTTTGGTATTGCGAAAACACTCGTTGGGATGGGTACGGACTAACCTAGGTCCATGGGTGTCGCTTCTTCTGCAGTGGCGGCTGCCAACCCCATCTTTGATGTGCCTCCCTGGCCTTGTATCACATCTACTGGCTTTTCTGTCATCATGTCAGCCTCTGTTTGGATTGTCATCTCCACCAAATGGATCTGTCCTTCGGTCTCATCCGCCACCTCTGACGTTTGAGTCTGTGCCGTGTGCGCTTCGGGGAGACGCTCCTGCTGATGTCGAACCTCCTTACAAAGCAGGCAAATGCTTTTGACTTCTGGTATTTCACACTCTCTGTGCACCCACCTGAGAGGATAAAAGATCACAGAATACTTTACAGCGAGGCCACTTGTGACTGAAACCCACAAATTATAAGTATGTGCGTGATCACTGAAAAAACCTGTGGCACAGGGTACAGCATTGAAGAGCCACAGATGGGTGCGCAGCTTTGCCGCAGACGCCACACACGGTGGTGCGCTGACGCTGGCAGGCCTCACACACTGCGTAGTTGTCAAACCACTGCGCCGAGCCAGGCAAAACCAGCCCACGAATGCCACACTCCATACATACACGACACCTCTGACAAGATTCACATAAGGGCGGAAAAAGCACTTGATCAGAGTAGCCCGTGAATATTACTGGAAAACGCTTCGCTCAAGAAAGTGACGTTCATTTTTTTTTTTTTTTTTTTTTAAAGGAAGGGTCCACCTTGAAAAGATTACGAATGTGACTTACTCTGCATTTCCATGGATCTGTGGGGAGAGAATCCATGGCGGGCTGCAGACAGAAGGTGTGGTAACCCTTATCACAGGCATCACAAACTAACATTTTGGAGTCTTCACCTGGTTGTCTGGAGAATGATAACAACAGAAATGAGTAACATCACAACAAATGGCATAATAAACCAAAACTAGACTACATGCAAATGTATTGACAATGTTGACTCGCCTGCAGGTCTGGCACACTTTACACTCCGGGCATTGCCATCCTGCCCGCTGGATGGGCGTGGCCCCAATTTCTAAACAGGCCGCGTGATAATGTAGGCCACAACCCGTACAGAACAGCAAGTCTGTGAGTTCCCCTGCTGAGTCACACACTGCACACCAAGACTCTTCCCCTGCTGTGGAAGTCAAAATATAGAATCAGATCATCATCTGTTGGATATAGTTCATCTTAAAGCAACACGGGGCTAATGCTGGAAGATAAAACTGCAGCAATGGTGTGCAAACTACAACATTCACTGAACTGAACCCCTAATTTCTGATTCTCTAATATCCAAACTTGTTTGGGGAAGTGTGTGTTTATTCACAGGAAAGTGAGGTAATACATACTTAAATCATAATCATCTCACTTCGGAGACGTATATTTTCAGACTGCTGCTTTTTAGCCTTTTTTTTTCCTAATCATATTTTAAGCAAAGTATTTGCGATACTAGGAGGAGTTTCCCTGGTAAGCAGAACCCAGAATCCAATTATGATCAGCAATAACCGATGAGATGAGGAACTTCTTCGACAGTTGAAAACATTTTGTAATGATTTGTACAGGCATGCGTGACGTAACTGTGTTAGCAATCGTGTAAAGATGCATTTGATCATACCTAACTCTTCTGCTTTGTCTATGTGCTGTGGACAGAGAAGGGCCAACTGCTTCATGGATTGGAAGGATCCACTCGCTGCTGCACAGGGGAAGTGGTAAAAGGTTGAACAGCCCTCAGCATGGCATCGAATGGTTGCGCCCAGCCGTTTGCAGTATGCACAAAGCTGGAACAAACCAGTGCCAAATATCATTAAGTGTGATACTTCATGAAGAAAACTTTTGTTACTCCAAAAATTCTCATCTCATGACACTGAATCCACATTAGAGACAGCGCACGTACCCGCTGTGTCCCTGAGATAACAGCCTTATCCACGTTCTCCAACCCGTCATCATCCTTTTGTTGCACTCCTTCTGACCACATCGCACACCAGTGATGAACCCAACAACCCCCTGCATTCCAAACAGCATCATTAGTTCTTCAAGTCTCCAGTCTAACTTGGATTCACATCATCCCCAGATTCAAAGTAGTAACTGTTGTCTGGAAATTAACCTGAGTCATCAAATAGCGATGATAGGCAGATGGTGTCCGCAAATCCAATGGAAGACAATTCATCATTTCCAGGCTGTGGCAGCTGAGAAGCAGTCGGCTGCAGAGTTGGCAGTTCTGAAGTCGACCCAAAGTGTCGGAGTTCCCGTTGTCCATGAAGGCTGCGCTCCACACAGTTGCAAAGAGCACAAGCCCTTACGCTCTCTCTATTTCAAACACATACAAACACTCTGTGCTTAATATTGTCCACAGTAAGCAGCTCGGACGAGAATAGTGGACAAGAAACATACACAGGTGTACTAGAAGAGGCGGCAGTAGGACTGGACACATCCTCAGCAGCAGGGAGAGCCTGGGACTCTCCAAGATGTCTAGCAGGAGCATTGTCATCAGCTAAAAAAGAATAAATCAATAAAATACAGGAGAACTGTGCTCAATAGGGTTATCACAATAATTTTTTGGACGATATTTCCCAGAAACTAGCACAAGAGAATATAATAGTATTATTGATTTTTTTTTTTATGACACACATATTTTACAGATAATCATTTAAGTAAATTCTTTTTAAGAGCAACTGACTTGATTGTCAAAAATACCGTATTGGCCCGAATATAAGACGATGTTTTTTGCATTGAAATAAGACTGAAAAAGTGGGGGTCGTCTTATTTTCGGGGTCTAAACATTATACCCATTCACGACGCTAGATGGGGCCAGATATCATTGAAGCGAATGCTGAACTTGACTCCCCAGGCCAAAGTGAACCCCTGTCACGAAGAATAAAAATAAAAATAGCGGTAGCACGAAGAAGAAAAATAAAAAATAGCGGTAAGAAAGAAAAGAGAAGAAAATGATAGAAGAGATAACAGAAAATGGAGAAACGTAGCGACAATCTGGAGAAAAGTGGGTCAAAGATCGGCCAGGTTAACCAGCAGCTGAGGAGAAGTTATGATGTAATTTACATTTCAAAAACCAGAAGCCATTCATTTACGAATGTGATTGCACTTTAGTTTACATATTTAAATGTTCAGATATTAAGATTTGAATGAGGCAAAATAACATGCTTTTTCTCGCTAATATATTGTTATCATATGTTTCACATGTACTGTAATTATTTTCTGTATAAAAATTAATTTGGTGTTCAAAAAGTCTTTTTTCAAACTTGAGTCTTGAAAAAGAGGGGGTCGTCTTATAATCAGGGCCGTCTTATATTCGGGCCAATACGGTATTGAACACTGGCTTTGAAATGTAGAACAATTAAAAGGAATACAGGCCAGTCAGCCAAGCAGCACTATTCGTGGAAGATCATCCCACGAATAGTGAAAAGCTGTCTATTTTGATGTTTATTTTAATGCTTGGGGGGTGGGGGGTGGGGGTGGGAGGGGGTTAAATATTATTCCCAAACCCCCAAAAATTATTTTTAAAAGGCACCAAGAAGGGTGTAGTGACACCTTAGTTCACAGTGCAAAGTCCACACATATATGCAAACATAATCTTTGGATGGAGAAAATGTTCAGTGATTACCTGTTGGCTCAGAGTCGCTTTCGTCGCAGTTTGATTTCTGATCGTCCATCCCGCCCAAACTGACTTTGACCTCCTTGACAGAGATCTGCGGTGTCAGAAAACAAGCACCTTATAGTAATGCAATACCACTGTTGTCAAGTATGCTAACAACCTAAAATGATTTAAATATGACCTAAACAACAAGTCTAATGCAGTGACGAAGGTGACAACTACATAATGAGACAATACAAATTAAACAAAACAGATGGTTTACCATACAGCAATCAAGGACATGCAGATACTTCCATATGAAAATGTCAACGTTGATTACATGGCAGCGGTCATTTTGCTGTGACCCGCAACTCTCCTGCTTGGGTGGCTTTGCAGTGAAAACTCTGATTGGTCAAATGTTGGAGTGAGGAATTCTGGGCCTGTCATGAATAGGCTATTTTATTGTCATTACTGTAGGTTTGCTGTGAATAGGTTATTTTAGTGGGATATGGAGGCTGCTGTGTTACGTTTCTCCTGGCTTCCACATTAACTGAATCCAGGTGTGGCCGTTAGGGCAATGTCAGTCCAGTAAAGTGTTTCCTAATCATAACTTTTTTTTAGGTTAACATTCGGACTTTTCTTAATTCTATTCCAGACTCATTTCTTAGATCAATTTGACCTCTATTTATTGAAAATCTCCTACTTATCCTTTCCCTAACCATAACTTTATATTTTTCTTTGGCCCGAATCGTTTGCTTCTTTCGCAAGCGACCATCGAAATTGTTCAACTCCATAACTGCTCAATTCCTCAAAAAATATGTGAAATTAAATGGCTCATTTACAACTCCTAACTGGCTGCAAGAAATTATAAACACAATAAAATGAATAAATAAACTGATTTGCATGTCTGCCTCAAAGTGAAGAGGTCATGCGTTGATTCTGGGCCCCTTCCTGTGTGGTGTTTGCATGTTCTTCCCATGCGCGTGTGGGTTTTCTCTGGGTCCTCAGTTTTACTCCCACATTCCAAAAACATGCATGGTTGGTTGGTTGATGGACCCTCTAATTTGTCCTCAAGTGTGGTTCTGTGCGCGAATTATGTTTTGTCTCTGAGGCGATTGGGTGGCAACCAGTTCCGGGTGTACCCCGCCTACTAACCTAAGACTGCTGGGATAGGCTCCAGCACACCCACGACCCATTGAGGATACAACGTTCAGATTATGGATGGGTTCAGAGCGGGCGGGATTCGAAGCCGTGAAGCGATGGAATACAGCAGCATCTTCGGGGCAACCGCTCTATTCACTACGTCATGTGAAATAAGCCTTTTTCAACACCACAAATAAATACTACTTAATCACTTCATACTAACCACCTTACATATATTTAGACATACAATGCATTCGGTTTTGTCCAAAGGTAAGGTGACTTGTAGTCACTGACTCACGTGAGCAATACTGCAATCGCGTATGCTTGTAAATTGAACACTGGAGTTAACATCATAATTTGTTTATTCACCCAGCAGTGCATTTTCCAAACCGGTTATATGGCAACACAAAAAAAGGTTACATGTTGTAACCAGTAATTGTGGCGTTTCACATAAATAGTTTTTCTTGTTTTCAAAATACACAAAGAATAGACAACTTCCGCGTTGCAAACTTCCTGTTGCAACGCTCTTGTTGCCGGGCGGAATCAAAGTCGCTCAAACTTGTGTTCCGCTCGGAGTTTCACTCCGTGGACAAAGTACAGTAGAGTACAGTCAATCAAACGACGGCCTCGCCATTGTTTCTGCACACAACAAATACCACCGAGTCGTGGCGTGGGTCGTGTGTGTGGCCGGCGAGCTGGCGTTTTGAGTAGCGTCAATGTCGATGGAAAGAGACTTTTTGCGCGCAGCTCCGTTTCAGCTGAATGATAACACGGCAGAGTCTCCAGTGTGCTCGTGTGATTATCTCTCAATGTCAGAAAATGAACCAAATGAATGTGCGCCGAGCAGCCGCTATAATACAGTATGGTCTGCAACTTTGATGCAATCGGTGCACAATTACAGAACAAAACATTATATCCGTTTAGAAGTCAAAATTCATCGTGTTCTCTCTCTCTCTCTCTCTCTCTCTCTCTCTCTCTCTCTCTCACACACACACACACACACACACACACACACACACACACACACACACACACACACAAATATTCGGCAGTTAGAGGAAAACTAGTCTTGGACCGACGAATGCCTTTCACGTGTTTGTCATGCATAGAAGATATAAGCATCATTTACTACTTTAAACTATTGGGAGAATAATAACACACGTACATACAACACCATCGTGCACATTTTTTAAAAACAGACGGAAAAAAACAAAAACACCTTGAGCTCAATTTTAATCAACATTATTTGGTCAAAATCAAAAAGTGAACAATTCAGTGTATTTGGCGGAAGACGTTTTCGAAATAAATGTGACAAGTCGAAACACTCCAAGATAACGACACCACATAATCAGCAAGTGTATAGCGAGTCAATCAATGAGCTCAGAAGGCTTTTTTTCTAAAATGCATTCGAGAATGTCTCGCGAAAGCGCCGAGAGAAGGCAAAATAGCGTTAGCTGGGTTGACACTGAAAGTAATAACAAATTAACTTTCATAGTGATCGTATATGTTTCCACTGTGGTGATAATGTCAAACAACATCTGCATGTTGATGTCGTTCCATATCTCTCTCTCTCTCTCTCTCTCACACACACACACACACACACACACACACACACACACACACACACAAATATTCGGCAGTTAGAGGAAAACTAGTCTTGGACCGACGAATGCCTTTCACGTGTTTGTCATGCATAGAAGATATAAGCATCATTTACTACTTTAAACTATTGGGAGAATAATAACACACGTACATACAACACCATCGTGCACATTTTTTAAAAACAGACGGAAAAAAACAAAAACACCTTGAGCTCAATTTTAATCAACATTATTTGGTCAAAATCAAAAAGTGAACAATTCAGTGTATTTGGCGGAAGACGTTTTCGAAATAAATGTGACAAGTCGAAACACTCCAAGATAACGACACCACATAATCAGCAAGTGTATAGCGAGTCAATCAATGAGCTCAGAAGGCTTTTTTTCTAAAATGCATTCGAGAATGTCTCGCGAAAGCGCCGAGAGAAGGCAAAATAGCGTTAGCTGGGTTGACACTGAAAGTAATAACAAATTAACTTTCATAGTGATCGTATATGTTTCCACTGTGGTGATAATGTCAAACAACATCTGCATGTTGATGTCGTTCCATAGAAAACCTAATACAGCTCGATGAAAACAGACAAACCAGTCGTTACTCAATGTAAACACCGATTTGAGGGATTCACTGTAGTCCAGCAAATAGCCTAGTCCATATCCCTAGCGACGGACTGAAACGGAAAAACTGGCATCTGGCGATGGTGACGTAGCAGCTAGGTGTCCCGAATATTCAAAACTGCGAAAACTACGCTTTGTGGCATGGATAGCGGCATTGACTTCTGAAAATGACAACTGTTAGCTTGGACTAAAACACCCTGGGCAGTGTCACCGCGGAACAGGAATCAAGCCGAAGTTAGCGCCCAGGTAACACGGCTAGTATTCCAGCAAGTAGACAGCGTCATTGCTACAAGCTAACAGCTAAATGCTACCGAGAGTGGAGCCAAGATTGCCCGGTCTAAGGTCAGGGTTAGTGTGTCTCTATTTACACTTGGCACGGCAAGATGACAAAAGTCACAAGTGACTATACTGACCTTACGAAAACAAAAGCGTCTCCTCACACATCAGCAAAATCCAAAGAGCCCCACGGCAGCTTCCCGTATTGCTTCTGGTCGCTTCATTTTTTGTACCGGACTGTAGCTGCGGCTAGCCGGCTGAAGCGAGAGAGAGGAAGAGAGAGAGAGAGAGAGAGAGAGAGAGAGAGAGAGAGAGAGAGAGAGAGAGAGAGAGAGAGAGTGGGGGAAGTGCGCGCTGGCGGAAGGCTGCCGACCGAGCTCGCTCAGTGCGCACTTGTCTTACTCTAGTACTGTGAACCCCCGATACAACAACGCCGAGAGACCAATGGCTTTGCGAGGCAACCGCCGCTTCAGCTTGCTCGCCGCAGGCGCATATTCAACACGGGTGTCAAGAGGCGCCGTTACGCCCCACAGTACCGCTGCCTTCCCATTCGATGTTTTCTTTCAGCTAACACACGACCGGGTTTGTGATGTAGCTTGAATGCTAACAACGAGCCACTGCGTGTTGTGTTGTGTTGTGGAATCCTTCTCGCGAGGTCACAGCTTTGTGCGGAATAGTGCAAAATAAACACTCATTTGGCGTCGACTTTGTCCGGCAACATATCGTACTTGACACTTTGCATGAAATTCCCCCCATACATTACACACTTGGCCAAACTGCGCCAAAAGCAAAATATTTACCAGCGCTCTAAAATCAGCAAATCGTGCGAAAAGAGTATTCAATGTGTCAACATTAGGGCGTCTAAAATTAAACTGCTGTTGTGCTTTGTTTATCTTTTCCTGCACAGCGCTGCACATTGTTGGCAGGCACAGCGCGGAAACACGATGGAGGATATTAAACACTCGATAGTACTGGAGGTCATTACATTTTCCAAAGCGTGGAAGCCATTTTCATTAGCTTGTTATAAATTGCAGGAGTAGGACTATCTTGGCGCAACGCATACAGCAGTATGTTGTCATGAGTGACAGACCCGGTGGCTCTCTTTTTTTACCCGTCAAATTAAACTGTAGAAGAATTAATTTGCCACAAGCGTGATTTATCTAAACGGATCCCAACTCTGCTCGGTTAGATGCAGGGTGCGTTTGGCTGGACTCATAAACAACACATCAAATTATAATTATGTAGTAACGATAAGTGTATCTACACTCTTGCTTGACAATCAAATGCATGCTCCACAACTTCAAGCCCATGTTTAGTAGAAGACTGTATCACGTTCCACAAACAGCCAAACCTAATGCTATATTCATGCCGACGTGTGTTATATGATTCGATCTGGACTGCAGACTACCTGAAAAGTGATAATGCTCTAAAAGGCAATACTGTGTAAGAATTAAGGGTGCCTGCATTGTGTACTGTACGCGCATTGACCAGTCACCAGCACCTGCTTCAGGGATGATCGATTTGCAGTTTGACCCTGCCACTTTGCACTGTTGCACATGTGCGGAGACCTCCGTGTGACCCTAATTCATGTCACCTCAAATGGAATTTGACATCTTTAATCCACACAACCTGAAAATGATGACCATTTATCAACTGAAGTCATCCAAATTCATTAGCGAATAATACAGTCTGAAACAAAAGTGTTTAAATGGCTGGAGAAGGTCACCACGTAGTGGGACTGCCATGCCTTTTGCATACATTAGTACATGACGTGTGCAGGTTTTCATTTTGAAAATACAGTAGGTTGTTACTAGGCCTCTGCACAGGATTAGTTTACTCCCCATTCAGCTTTAGCAAGATTGGATTAGATTTTTTTTAGGGGGGCGAGACTGATTGGAGGACAGGCTGATTGGCCAATGGCTGTAAATAGAGGCTGGTATTAAGGGCACTCGATTCCTCCCATTTGTCGGCCAGCAGAGTGATTCCCTTCCCATCTGCCTTCTGCATCTCAAGGATAATCCCTTTGAATACCTTCACAGATGTTTACAACAGAGCACCAACTAGGAGGACGTGAACACAATTTGTGTCTTCCGTGTTCTATTTTGTAGGTTAGGTGTGTTTTCATTTGCTTACTCCATTGGTTATTTTTAGTGTGGTAATGCTCCAGTTGAAAGTTGACTCACTTGTTCGTATAATATAACCTCAGATTTTTCTGATGTTTTTCCGATTCTCAAAAGTCTTTTTTTTCCACAATAAATAAAAGGCTACAATCAATGTAAAGTACTGCTTAACGTTACACATGAATTACTTCATCTAAGGATGAGCTCAGTGTTGGAAGAGTGGTAGTTGCAGGAGAGAAACATGAGGTGCCCTCGACCATGATGTCCAAACCACGGCCCAGGGGTTTTTACAGTGTCTTAATAAGAAAATCACTCAGGTGCTGCAGCTGATCTGAAATGCTGCCACTGGAGTCCTTACATCTATCAGAAAACTGGACCAGATCACACCTGTCCTCAAATCACTACACTTGCTGAGTCAAGGAATAGATTTTAAAATCTTGCATCTGGTTTACAGATCTCTAAATGGCCTTGGACCAAAATGCATGCAAGACGTACAGTAATAATACCCTCTGAAGCATCCAGACTCCTCAGGTTGTCTGTGACATGTCTCTTGTTTGTTCTCAGGAACAGAAGCAAACAAAACGAAGCACCACGTCATTCTTCTGCTCTTCGCCTGCGGAACAAACTCACTGAATACCTGGAGTCAGCTCAAATTGTCAGTTCATTTCACTCAAGGCTGAAAACATGATGTTTACTGCAGCAATCTTATGAATCTATCCTTTATTGTCTTGTTTTAATCCCATTTGCATGCAATCTTTTAATCATTTTCATCAAATTATTTTTGATTTTTTTTTGTGTGTGTAGTTTTTGAAATGTAATATTCTCTTTCTCTCTCTGTCATGCTTTACATGTTTTATGTAAAGCACTTTGAATTGTCTTGTACATGATGTGGACTATGCAAATCAACTGGCCTCCTTGCCTTTGAAGTTAAAAATAACTAGAGAAAACATGATTCCCTCATTAAATTACATTTTAATGTTTGATGACAAAAGGTGAAGACATACAATACATATGGTGCAATGATCAAAATATGAAACATACATGACATTTCAGATGGTAGAAAAATAAACAAAATCTATTGATTTGACAAAAATTCTAATGCGTGTGAAAAAATGTCCATATTCAAAAGAATAATTACACACAACCCGGTGCACAGACAAGCAAAGGAATTAGTTACCATGAAAACAAAAACAAAAAAAAAAAAAACGATACTTTTAAGGATGAAAAGAGTTTGAGTCTAAAATAATAGATCCCACTCTGTACAAAACTCGAGCATACCAGTGCACATTGGATGTCTGACGGTTGAGTCCCTCTTTCACTTTCATTCTCCGAGCTCCATCCACATCCTCATATGTGATAGGAGAACTCTTACTCACATAGAAATCTGTGTTATGATGAAACGCTGTTGTATTAATGCAAGTTGTCTGCTCTTGCGTTGTGCTTTCCCCCCAAAGTCGGTGCTGGAATGAGGAAATGAGTCGCACAGGTCCGAAGGCCCAGTGTGCCAGCATGTGACCTTCTACGAGTGCATAGCTGGACACCAGCACCCCATCCACAAACAAAGTTCCATCTTCTGTCAAAGGTGCATACACTCCAGTTGTCCTTTGCACCGAAATGGAACTGATTCGAGACGGACTTATCTGACCGTCTGCTCTGTGGATCAAAATGCAGTGGCGGGCTCTGGCTCTGCTGGCAAATCGTGCTTGGTACTTGCTGTTGTTAAGTGTGCAGTCGGGGTCTAAGAACACCAGATGCTGTGCTGTGACGGCCAATCTATGGCCATCTTCTGTCTCCAGAGACAGAACAGTGACCCAAGCTTCTTGATCCCGGTGTAGAAAGAACAGGACCAAGCTAAATACTATTTGACCTGTGCTAGACATGGCCATCACTCTGTCCCCGGGACTTAGTGATGACATGCTCTTCTGCCTCCCTCCAGCAAGAGTCACCCGGGCCCAGCCTGGGAAACAGCCTCCTTTTTCCACCGCAACTGAGTGATCTGCAGAGAGAAACGCAACCACATCAGGTGAATCGAATCAAAATTTTCTGGGGGGAGAGACTCAAAAGTCAAACAAAACTTCTGGTTTGTGATACCAGTGAGGGGCAAATATAAAATTATAAGATGAGACTTCAAAATGTTGAAAAAAATCAAGCTGTGTTCTCTGGATAGATTAAACTATACCCAACTGAAAAATGGATGCTGCTTCTTTTAGCAACGTTCTTATGCCTACACATCCATACGTGTTTGAGCCATGAAAAAAATATGCGCGTAAAGCCTCCAGTAGCTGGACTGCATCCCATCGGGTCATTGCAGTGTTTTTCACACCACGACAACAGGTGCTAGCGCACGGCAAGCTCGCAGCCTAACCGGAGCTTTTCTTGACCGACGGACAGGCAGTGGGCTGAACAGACTTGTCGACACTTTAACCACCTAGCAAAATGTTGTGTTGTTGTGTGTCCACACAAACAGAGAAAGTCCACCGTTTATTAAAAGCTGCGATACAGGTTATTCATTCGAGCTGTGGCCTACATTATATTACAGACATTGGAACACATACTTCCTGCTAGTTGTCTTCCAACAATATTACAGTAGCCTGAATAACACAAGATGCGTAACACTTGGGAATTAAACAAAACTGCCAAGCTGTTTGTAAATTATAGCATCCAGGTAAGAATGCATTTTCGAGACCTAAGTACTGCTAGCTTGCTAATTGCATGCTGTCGTGGTTGAAATATAATTGCAACTAAGTAACTTGCAATTGTGCCACATAGCTACTAATGGAACAGAGTTGTTCAGTTCTTCAGAGATGAAAGTGTACTTTTCTGAAAATTCCGGAATAAATAAATAAATAAAGGTGTGTATATGTGTGTGTGTATATATATATATATATATATAGTAGGGTTTTTTTCTGATTTCCTGTTATTGGGGCCCTGCAGAAAGTCGCCCCATGGTTGCTGCCCAATATGAAATGAAGTTTGATTCCACAGTGATTCTTTAGCCGTTGCAGGTTCTTCAGCCTCCGGACCCGTTTGGACCAGCCGAGACCACCCAGATAAGACTTGCGTCTCAACTTTCCAGCAGAGTTGCCCTTCTCAACAAAGCATCTTGAAACAATGAATTCCACGTTTGGAAGTGTGCAGATGGATGTTTTATTTGTGACTGAAGCAGACAAGAAACTTGTGTGTTTTGTTCAAGCCCTTTATTCAATATCACCAATAAAGCAAAGTAAGAAACGACACAATCTCTTTGTAATGCTTGTCTTCAATTTCAAACCAAGTTGGCTTTACAAACTCCCTCTCCTGATCTCAGGATGGCATGATGAAGGGAGCGGAGGGGAGAAACTGGTGAGGTTGAGGGCGAATGGGTTAGGTTCGAGTGCCGTCACGAAGTTGAGGGGCGAAGTTTGGAACACAAGAGGCCACTCACTCCGAGAGATGCCAACAATTTAACAGCTCAAATAAAGATGTTGACTTATGATTACATATAATTTTTTCGAAATTTTCGCGGCAGAATGGACTAATGGTAAAAGACGACGCGTGGTAGTCAGGCGACCCGGGTTCGAGCCCCACTGCCTGCTACATTGATAAATTGAGCAAGAACCGGACCCGGGATGCCCGTGGACCACGTCATGTCTTTATCCATTCGACCACGCAGACAGCTTTTACTGTAATTTGGTTGGTCTTTAGAGTGCAGTATCTGATAATAATTAGAAACGTAAAAGTCACTGTTGATACTGTCAGTCTATAGCTCAATGGTCTACGACTATGACTCTCCACTGGTGAGCTCAAGCTCGAGCCCCGGTGTTGACCCTAACCTTCTTTCCCACATTCACCTTCTTTGTTATAGTGTAGATGTAAAAGCAAGCATTTTCACTGTCAGACAATAGCCAAATGGTATACGACTGGGAGTCCTGCCTGGTGAACTCATGTTCGAGTCCGGTTATTGGCACTCAGCACTCCTGCTTTTTTTCGTTCACATTCATCTTCTTTGTTAACATATACGTAAAAGCGATCGTTATCACTGACAGATAGTAGCACAATGGTATATGACTGGGAGTCCCGACTGGTGAACTCAGGTTCGAGCCCGGGTCTTCACTTACTCTTTTAAATATTTTTTCCTTCCCGGAAGTGACGTCATCACCGGAAACCTATTTAAGCGGCGACAAATAGGCAATCATTCTTTCTCACCTTCGACAGCCTCCGCTCGTCCACACACTGCTCCTGCTCCGCACGCCTGTCCACAAGATCACGCAGAACTCCAACAAGGTGACTTTTTACTCTTTAATAGCTTATTAAAACACTCACATTGAATGGAAAGCAGCACTTTAATCGTGCTCGCACCTGGCAAACATGCAAAGCAAAAATGTTTGCTCGAGCATTGCAATGAACGTCTCCTGCGACCTTACTTTGCAACAAACGCTTTTTTTCCCCCAACTTCCTTAGGAAAGCTACGTTCGACCAGAGGGTAAGTAGACACAACTCATTTCTAAATTAACAATTAAACCGAATTAATACGCATGTGTACATACTAATTGTGTCATTTCTGTTCACAGGTACAAATCTTAAAATGGCGTCTAAAATGGGACACTTGCTGTGCGTTTCAATGTGGAATTTTAATTGTGAACCATTTGGAGCAAGCCCAACTAATTTGTCTCTTTTCTGTCCACAGGCTTTGCATCTTCTACAGAATGGCCAAATTGACTGCAACAAGGTAAAATTGCCGCATTTGAATACAGATCAAACTAAATCCCAAATGTGTCGATTCTCATTTCTGTCTATGCAGGCTCACCTCGACAGAATGACCCTTAAAATGGCTGCCATCCTGTGGCGTTTTGGGCCCTGGCTTCACAAGACTCGAGCAGATCTTTTACATGTCTTCCAAATATCTGTGTGCTAAGACACGCTTGGAAGGTTGAATATTTAAAAGTCAAGAGCTAACGTTACCGTGTCTTTCAGGCCACCGTGCTGTCGAAGAAGCGTCCAGCTCTGCTCTCTTCACAAGTAAAGCAAACATTTTCCCACAGGTGCACATGTGAGAGTACTCTTAATTAAATCAGCAGGTGATTGACTAAAGATTGAGCACAGGTGTCAAATCCAGAAATTTGAAAAGTTTGGTTTAACCACAGGACCTCCAACTCAACCAGCTCCTCTGGTTGAGTAGGCGCACCTGTGGCTAAAATCAAACGGTGGTGGTGCTCTTTTCTGGCTCTCTCACACACTGAGACAAATGATCAGATTCGCTGTCTGGCTTCCGCCGACCTTGCTGATGATCTGATCATTTGAATCAGGTGTTGCACCAGGGGGAAATGGGGGAGGGGAAAAGGGCGGGAGAGTGGCCCCAACACATTTCCTCAACAAGTGCGTTTGTCCTGCTCTCATCCACCAGGTGGTGCT